CTGCAGAAGAAAAAGTAGGAACGATGGTTAAAGAAAAAAAGTGACCCGATTTATTTATTTGTTTGTATATTTATTTTATTTGTTTGTTTGTTTATTGTTAAATTTATATGCCGACCATCTCCCCTAGACCCTACACATACCCACCGCCTACAGCAGGGACGAGAGAAACTGTAGTCCAGTTTGGCTTCCGCCTCGCTGGACTACAACTCCCAGCGGTCCCAGCCAATGCGATCAGATGCGAGGATACTGGGGAGGATAGTCCACCAAGGAGGAGTAATGGAAGAGAGTCCCTGGATGCAATCCTCCTTCGGCTCTCTCGGGCCACTCACGCCCGTCCGCCTGGCCTACCTCGCAGGGTTATTGTGAGGATAAAAGGGAAGAAGAACCGACTTGCTGCCAGGGCAACTTAGATTACGCCAAGGTTCTTCGACGGCTTTAATTTAGAAACGCCAAGGGTGTTGATGTTCTCCTCCTCCTGAAAGGTGAAGCCGATTTCACGTGACGGCTTTTGGCTAATTCAGCAGTAGCGGGGCAGAAGTTTCCTGGCTTCTCTGCTAATTTTTTTCCAGACTTGCCCATGGTGGGCTGACTCAGTCTGGGATGGGAATGGGGTGGAAGAACTTTCTGTACTGCTGTGGAATCTGGAATCCAGGAAGAACACGCTGAACAAGCCAGAAAGCGGGTTGCCTGTCATCAGGCGGAGGGGAGTCAAGGAGGAACCTAACGGCGAAAGGCTGTGGTTAGCTGAGAGCTGAAACAACAACCGGGAGCAAAATGTCCTTGCCAAATTCAGCCAGCGTGAACCTGCTGAGAAACGTCCCATTGGTTAAGTCCCTATGATGCACTTTCTTGGGAACTGAACCAGGGTTCGCCTAACCCGGTTTCCAAGGAAGGGACAAAGAGCAACATCTGGACTTTCTGCTGGCATTCCGAGAAAAAAGGGTTTAGGGAGGGAAACGTTCGTCCGGCTGTTGTGTGTTAAAAGGCAGGCGCCAAGTTTCTAGTCCTGGGGACCGGTTGGGGAATTTTAAATGGGTGGGCTCCCTCGCCGCTCAGCCTGAGCGTCCCAAATGTTGGAAGTGTGGCCAGATTTGGCACACCATGGTGGGAGTCTGATGTGGGTTTAGGGCGGCTGGGCCAATCCAGAACCTTTTCTTTCTACGTGTGAAATGTCAAGAATCGCAAGGGAAAAAACCCAGAAAACAAATTAGTCTTTGCAGAGAGATTTCCCTGCTTCTCTCCCCCCTCCCCATTCTTATCCTGTTTGATGAATGAGATTTTGCTTCCAAAGGAGAAGACAATTTTGATGGAAATGCAGTCAGATAGGCGGTTGTGCATTTCAGCGACAAAACAGCTGCGTGGTGTCTGCGACGGCCCTCTTTCTACTTAATAATAATGCTTCTGTACATCATCCTGAGTCATTCAGTCAGACAGCTTGTAAATGGATTTAATAATGATGATGATGATGATGATGATGATGATGACATTTTTCAGAGAAATTTCAGAAGATGCTTTGGACTCGGTGTTAAGGACAGTTGCAAAATTTATTTCTAACTGTCCTCTAGCCATCTTTTTAAAACAATGCAAGGCATATTTTCAGCAGACGTTTTTTTTGTTGCAAAAAGCAAGTATCCACACGCCTGTTGGAGGGCAAGGCTCTCCCCAGCCAGACTTTCAGCGTGGCAGACTAAAACCCGCTGCTTGAACCCAAGGCGTCACCCCTCACGTTGGGACCCAGCCATGGGGCAGACTGGATGCCCCCGAGGACTTTGGGGTGAAGTTCACTGACGTCTGTCGCTCGGAGGTCCAGCTGGGCCTTTTCCTCGGATCTCAAAGTTCGAGCCGGAGAGTTAGAACAGAGTCCAAATCCCCGCCAGCAAAGCGCCCGCTGCTCCTTGTAATGGCACCATCTCCAAGCAAATGAGCTTGTCATTGCAAAATGTTGACATTTAATTACTGAGGCGTCTTTGCTGGAGCCAAACAGTTGCTGACTTGCGGGTTCTTGGTCTGGGCTGGCAATCACCTGGAGAAGGTGCCAGAGTCACTGGCCAAGTTCACTTTGAGGAGCTGGACAGGAAGATCGGGGTGACGATTCTGAGCTGTTTTTCAGGGTCTGGCGCTCATGAGCAACATCCGGAGCCCGACGCCGCCGGGCAATGATCAGAAGCGTCCATTTTACCGGAAGGTGGCGAGGAGGATAAACAGCCTAACGCTCATCACGACAACCACAATATGGTGCGTTGGCCAAGGGCCCGGCCAGGTGTTAAATGCCAGCAAAACAATTCCCAACAGAAGAACTCGTCTTCATTCCCAAACCGGTTTGCACCAACTGGTTGGACCGCTGGGGGAGCTCAGTGGCCAGGCACTACCCCTGTGTCCTTTTGGCTCAGGATCATGGGAGATGCAGTTCAGCATCCCAGGTCCTCTGTGAACGTCAAGAGCACCGTTTCAGCCACAAGTCCTGGGGGAGAGGTCTGGCTGGCCACCGGACAAAAGGTTTTGGCAACAGGTTTTTGGCACTCGCCGCTCTGTTTCTCCTAGAAGTTGAGCTGCAGCGTCAGGGATAGGACAGAGGTGTCCCAGGGGAATTTTTGGACACCTCACTCCAGCCACCATACCTGGTGGTCTTCCATCCATGCCCCCACCAGGTCTGATCTGGCTGAGCCCAGATGGGGATGAGCTGCCCCCTGGCGGCCTCACTCCAAGGGGGGGAATGAACATAATACATTTCTGGATGGAGCAAGAATGAACAACCTCCCCAATCCAAAAAAGCCTCCGCCAAAATGACTCAAGTTAAAAATGTTGGTCGATGATTTCATCCCTTGGAAGAGGCAGGTTGCAAACACCTGCTAAGGTGCATTAATTAACTGTCAGTGTGATTTCATCACCGCCAGCCTGCAGAAAAACAAGGTGCGTTATTTGGTAGCCGGGCCAGAGGTAAACCCTAGGACTTCCTGCCCAGGGAATATATGCGTGGGGAAATCTGGAAAGCTTCTGCCCAGAAGTGAACCCCCCGTGTACAGACTATAGCCTTGCTTGTCATCTGTGGCTTGGCTCGCTAGCACGAGCCAGCTACAGTTGTCTTGTGTTCTTTGAGTCCCGTGTTCCCCTCGACGAAAAGCTCCAGTCTGGATAATGCCAGGCCCAGATCTGGCTTCTGCTTCCCTGAGGCTTTTTTCCCCCTGGTGAAAGCAGCTTCCGTTTTTCTACCTCATTATTATAGCGCTTTTCAATGTTGCATTTGTGTTTTTTCAACTTTGTGGATTTGAGCTTACTTAGTCAGGGAACGTGGGGTTGGCTATTTTTTCCTGTTTCTCCATCCTCGGATGTCGGAAAGACGGTCTTCCTCGGGAGGAATTCCTCTCAATGTTTTCCCTTGGGACTGAATGGAAAAGGGTGGCTTTAGATCACTGGATTGTGCAAGGAAAGACAGGGCACTCACACGCACGCATGCACGCACACAGACACAAATGCATTCATCCCCAGCAGTCTTTCCTCTAAATAACCCTCTGTTGCAGCTTCTGCCTTCGGAACTCCTTGCCTCAAAAACATCCTTTTTGGCATGTTGCAAAACCATGAGAAACACTGTTCCACCAGGCTTTTAACCAGAAACTAATGTTTTTGGCATCGATCCCTGTCTGTTTTTTCTTTGTTGTTTG